AAGTCAGCCAGCGCAGAGGTTTCGTCTACTACCTGTCTCGTCCTGCCGTCAAGTTCATCCTCGACATTGTCGAAGAGCAGTACAAAGCAAAGCAGAATCCAAAGCCTGCGAGCAAGAATAGGACACCCACCGGGGGTGCCACAGCTGGCGCTTCTCCTGACCTCGATGCTGCAGAGCGTGAGTTCAAGCAGGACATTGAAGAACGCATCAAGAACATCCTCAAGGACGGCAAGAAATATGTCAACGCTGATGGAAATAGTGGCGAAGACGTGCCTAACGTGCCAATCGCTGACCTGTCGAGCGGTATCTCGGATGAGTTTACGCCTCAGAACAGTTACCACGTTCGACTCATTGCCCCGCAGATTCAACTGCAAAGCGACAAGAACAAGAAGAATGTCGTCATCCTCACATCCAAGGGCATGGAACTCAAGGTTGTCGAGGTCATGGACAAGAAGAGACTTGCCGACAACGTCAGCGGTCTCGTACAGAGGAGATTCCTCGTCAACATGGACAGCACCCAGTTCTTCGTTACTCACCAGTCGTACTTCTCCGAGATCGTCACCACATACGCTGGCAGTCGGTACGGTACCCCCTCAACGTCATCGTGGCCTCCGTGGGTTCCTATGGAAGTCATGTTCGACTTTGAGACGGACCCTTTCGGCTTTAATAGAGTGGTGCAGAAGACGTCCGCAATGCTTCGCTACGAGAAGTACAATACTCTGCGTCTCAAGTATAACGACGAAGTCAACACCGAGGGCGCTGGTGATCCATCCCAACCCAGCAACGAAAGAAAGATGGATAATCTCTGGGTAGAGTTCCCGCAGGCCAGAGCACTATGCAACTCTGGCGACTACTACGCCATGTACGTTATTGTACTAGACCTCCTCATGTACAATGAGCCTCTCGAAAAGACACGGACGGAGCGCCTAGAGAAGATTATGCTCGCATCAGACTTTAGCGATCTCAGCGGTACGCCTGAGATGGTTGAGAAGCTACAAGAACGCATTCGTCAGCTTCAGGACATCAAGTCCCACTTCCAGATATACTCCAAGTACATGGATCAGCGTGGCTGGGAGGACAGGCTTCTTCTGGAACGGGACCTAGCAGCATGTGAAGACGAACTGTTCTTCATGATGAAGGCCATCACGTCTTCACAGCGGAGATACGAAACGAATTCGGAGAGCAATGCTCTCCTCCGCTGGAGCATCACAGCACGAGACACGGTTTGGCATATGCTTCGAGACAACAAGGAACCGCTTGTGGAGCTACAGCTCAAGGATGTAGAGTATGATCGCACGGATAATGCCGACGGGTCGCATATCAACTTGATCAGAGTCGGCAAGGTCTTTGGACTGAACCTCCTCCCCGACGCCATGTACCCGGAGATCATTGCGCCCTACGCAGAAGGCGACAAGGACTTGGGCAATCAAGAAATGATCCGGGTATACTGGTACATGCTTGAAGCCATCGCCGGTATTCCCGTCATGGATCACTTTGAGGTCAACTTGTTCCCTATGAAGATTCAACTGGAACGCGAGATTGGCAAGAGGGTCTTTGAGTATATCTTCCCGGGCATCGACGGCGACAACAAAGACAAGAACGACTCTCCATTTATGCTCAAACATCAGCCTACCGAGGACGACGGGGAAGACGACGACTCGATGTCTGGCTCTGGTCGACTGACTGCTAGCGATAAGGACGGATTTAGCACGCGACCGGGCTCCCTTGAACTGCGTCTACAGCCTACACTTAACTCCGACTCTCCGACCAAGTCAATAAGCAGCAAAAAGTCGCTTACAGTCAACACAGGCGAGGGTCAAGGCCACACCTTCCGCCTCTTCCGCTCCGTCGGTACCGGCAAGGTTCCAACCAAGAAGCCTTCATACGAGTCACTCAAGTCAACAAAGGAGCCTCGCCCAGGAATCGGTCGTACCTCGACCGGCTTCTCATCAAAGGAGAGCACACTTCCCGGTGACAAGAAGTCGCGCTTCGGCCGGCGCAAGGAGTCAAAGGCGGAAGATACCAAGCCGTCCGACGACCTCACCAAGATGATGTCGCGCGCCAGCAACTACATGACCTTTGCGCACATCAAGATGCCCTCGGTGGTGCTCTGCCTCAGCTACAAGGGCAAAGACAACCGCAACGTCGAGGACGTGCACGACTTTGTGTTCCGCATGCCGGCGGTCGAGTGGCGCAACAAGACGTGGTCGAACCTCGACCTGGCTCTCGCGCTGAAGAAGGCCGTCATCAAGGCCCTCATCTCGCATACTGGTGCTATTATCGGCAATAAGTTCAAGCATCGCCCGAGTAACACGCAGGCCAGTAAGCTCCGGGAACTCGCCAGTGGGTCATCGCTCATTGCGCCCACGCCGTCGTCATCGTCACAGCATGACGCGGAGAGTATCAATAACAGCGATGATTCGTCGAGTTTATACGGTAACTCGCCCGTCGACTACTCCCGTTCGCCACCGCGTTCGTACCACGGCAGCCCAGCCAGCAGCATCCCCATCCCGCGGTCGACCAGCCGGAGTTCCAGCGTCGCAAGCGGGCGGTCTCGTAGGACAGGCGAGTCAAGTCTCCAGCAGCAGCAGCAACAACTGCAGCCCGCCGTCCCGAGTTTCCTCATGATGACGCCGCCGACGCCTCTCGATAGCCGGGCGCCGACGCAGGGGCTCGGGTTCGAGTTGCTGAGGCCTTCTAGTAGAAGTAGTCTGGCGCCGTTTGACCAAGCTGGCGGGGGCACGATTCGCTCGCTTTCACGGTCTGCGACGGGCGCTGAGTCTGGGGATCGGAGGCGGTCTGCGGGGAGCGGGTTCTTGAGGGATAAACTCAATGCGCTGACGCACCGGAAGCGCGATGGGAGTTTGAGGGATGGTGGTGGTGGTCAGGGGCAGAGTCAGGGGCAAAGGGAGGATACGCCTGAGCGTGAGGAGGAGGATTCGAGTGCTGCGGCGGCGGCGGCTGTGCCTGAGAGTCCCAAGGGCACCAAGAGATTTCCTGGTTTGAGCCGGGTGAAGACTGGGTCATAAGGGGGGGTCACGCTGCTGAATTTTTGGCGGTTATAATCAAAGATGTTTTGCCTGTTTAAGAGTACAGAGTAAAAGGAGGGAGGTAAAGAATCATGTTTTTTAACAATTGGGGGGTTAGACTGGGGCTTGGAAGAGCGGGATGGGAGGGATAACTATTAGATTTGCTTTTATGTTTGAAGGAGGGAGGAAAGGGAGAGGAAAGGGGGGGAATTAAATACCCGGCGTTGGCTGTGGATATTCAAACCACGTTATATTTCTGACGCTGATGGTACAATTATAACTATAAGTGCATTATTCTATCCATGGTCTTGTTTGTTTTGATTGTGAGGTCCTCTATGATAGGTGAGGTAGGTGATGAGATGTTGAAAACGGAGAGGAGGAGGAGGAACCAGCAACAACACGATGTAGCAAGCGGATTTGTGTCGTTTATTATGTATTTAGGCCCTCAAAGTGAAGTCCACTAATAAATCCAGCAATTTTGTCACCTGTTACACAAGACTAGAGGGTGAAAGCAGAAGAAAAAACCGAGTTTCGCGTCTAACGATGGAATTGAGAAAATAGGCTGTTAGAAGGGATGGAGGATGAGGGACGGAGAAGAAGTTGTTATAGATTAGACATTATCTTCCTTGGAACCCCTCTTCTTTGCTCTTTCTTTACGGTTGCAGGCTACTCAAATGTGTTTAATTCACAGCATGGAACTCAATAGCTGTCTTTCTTACTCGCTTGGCTCATTCTGCTTCCCTGATGATGGGGGCTCGTCACGTTCCACTGACCCATCTCACAGCAAGATGGCGAGGAAGTTCTGGTTATAGTATCGACTCTTGGGGGCGGACACCATCTCCTCGTCATGAAGGAATCGAGCAAGACGTTTCTCAACGAGGCACTTACTAGCTTCTCATGAGCAAAGACAAATAGCACCGTTACATTCTGCTAGCTATCCGGAAACTTAGACAGGCACCCGTGGAAAGAAACTTGGGGAACGAGAGCATAGCAGTTGTCGAAAGAGACGGGATCTTTGGAAAGCAAAGAAGACGCTATTGTAAGGCAGGTTCTAAAAAAAAACATTTTTTTCTTTTCTATTGTTTTCGAGATGGGTCATGCCAACTTCTAAGAATCGATTCTTTTCTTCTACAGCATTTCGCTCGACACGAGTGTCCTCATATCAGTGCAGCTGAAATTCTCGGTGTAACTGACACATGTTGGTGATGAGTGTTTACCTAAAGGGGGTGTATATCCTCTACGGAGGCAGCTCGGTCGGGGCTGGCAAGGTGTAGCAAAAGGGATCACGAGTCCGCAGAAACACATATCTGGGCAGATTTACCAACATTTGCGTGAGAGATGGCAGAGGAATCTACACCATCCCGAGTTCAGTCTATTTACTTCCTTGTATAAGTTCAAACTGTGAAACAGCTGAACGAGAATGCCTTGTCGAACAGAACCGGCTGCCGGAGGTTGGCATGTGGTTTACATCGTTTCCATGAGAGGCTTGTCTCGTAGCTCCAACCAACACTAGTGATGGCGGCGATGCGGGGAAGCTTCAAGCCAAAGGTCTCGCCTCTGAGATCCTCAGGAGACGCCCAACTCTGGCTGGACAAGGTCTAGACCTTGCAAAGATGTTATGTTAAAGACACCTCGTTAGTAAAACGACCACTTCTTATGTCTACTGTAGCTCTCCCCGTGTGCCTAATGGTGGCAGGCCGCGTCGTCAAGACAAGAACGTGACAGCCCGTCCGAATGTCTCCTCCAGCACCCATACTGGAAATCGCTGCTGATGGAGCACATGGCTGTCAAAGTGTGGTCACGAATAGTAATAGATGGGAAGCACGTGAGGTGTGCAGCCACGCACAAGACTGAGGTCTCGAAAGGGGGTTACCGGAATAAGCGGCCACAAGACTACGAGTATCGAGGTATCGGGCGGAAGCGCATTTGGCGGGTTTGAGTTTAGAGGATGAAGGGCCGTGCGGAAGTACAGGACGCCGTTGAGATCCGGAGCCGTGTTTTGGGGTCTTGGCGCTGATGTTGGTGTTGGAGTCCGCGCAGTCAGTCACCTAGAGGGTTGCCGTAACTTGGCCAACGGATCAATATCGAAACTTGCATAGAAGCCTGTGCGGCCCGCCAGTGCTCGTGCCCCCATCTCGTGCGCGGCGGCAATACTATGCGAGTTCTTGGCCCGATGCTGTCGAGCTGTGCGAGATGCGCTGTAAGCAGACGTTTGTGACGCTGAACCTTGGACAAGCGATGAATACCGACGGCTGGGCAAATGTCCCTTACACATGCCTGGACTTCACCCATGCCTTTTGATGGTTCTACCCCGCAAACCATGGAGAAGTCAGCCATGTCTTGAGATGGCTCCGACTCAGTTCCTCGCTGAACCTCCAAGAACCCACAACGACCATCCCCGTTCCCACTCACACCCACGCCAGAGCCCAGTCGACGATGCCGGCGTTGTATGACGCATGGTTGGAGAAGAAATAAGCGAATCAGAAGAGAGCGATAAGGCAACATCTGAGACCCTCGTGAGGATGTGGGATGGCGTCGCTAGATTCATGGTGGTGCAGATGATGACTCTTGCTCGCGACTGGGCCATGCGCTACCTTCTAAGTCTGATCGGTTTTTGAGCACGCACAATGTGTGTAAGCTGCTGGCTGGGCCGGTGTTTGAATATGGTCTTTTGTAATTCCATACACCGTCTGGAGGGTATAGATACACCTGGCTCGTCTCATGTTGCTACACATGGCTGCATTTGACGATTGGTCCGTTATGTATGCGACAAATGACGGGCAAGATGATGGGCTGCCTGCTTTGTGAGCATCAACTAGGCGGTCGTTACTGGCCCGATGTGTCCCATTCAGGCATCTATAACTGATGCAAAAGACCGAATCGGTGGCTGGATGTTTGCGGTATTGATAGGGATGGAAGTGATGGGCGGCCAAGATGGCGGGGTAAGGCGGACGAGACGAGTGAGACAACGCCCACTGAGACAGTCCTGAATATCATCTGGAGGTAAGCAGTCCTTCCGTGAATACCACCGTAGCCCGCGTGGCTTCCGGGCTTTATGGAAAGTCGCCCTTGCTAGCGAGGCACACCTCGGTACACGACGTGACACTCTACACATAATCCAGGACTGATGGTTCGTATGTATCAGGCACGATTTCTGGTTTGTTGCCCACGTGTTGGGTTTCGTGGCCGAGGCGAGCAACAGGTCAGGCTGGTTCGGAGTTCAATGGACGCCAATGTCGAAGCGTTTTGCACGGGATATGGCTTGATGGTTGGATGGGCGAGCTCACAATCATCGGAGATACGGGCATCTCGTCGGTCATTTCTTTGACCAAGCCTCCAGTTTGCTCTCGTTGTCTAGGTGAAGATGGCGATGACACGTCCGACGGTGCTGAAAGCGGGAGAGGCGCGCAGAGGATCGACATAGGCCATCGCACGGGTGGGATCCCGTATCGGGTTCCCGAATCGGGTTCCCGAGGACTATCGACAAGCTCCGGCCAGGTGCTATTGGATCAAGCAGACGAACGAGCGACATGGGGCCTGGGCAATTGGGCGACCATCAGAGCGGATGGGACGGAAAGCGAGTTGGGAATGGCGCTAAGGCTAGCCTGGTGGCAGACGGTCGAAGTCGCTCTCCGTTCGCCTGCCTGTCTCGTCGATGAGAGCGAATGGCATAGGTCGACAGGGATTGGAGAAATGGAGAGGAGCAAAAAGGCAATGGTCGGGGATGTCTGCAAGCTGGTGGAGGAGCGAGAAAGCAACGTGCTGTCGCACGGCTCAGCAGTAACCTGGGTTCGGAGAAGGCCGATAAGAAAGCCAAGGAGGTTGCTAAGACTGGGGAGATGCATAGGGGCCGATGATATGGGCATTGGCTCTCGGGCTGAGCTCCGTCCGAATTTCCAGGCGCGATATTAGTGTTCACGATAGAACGGAAATTCCGGTGCGTCTTGCTTCCCCAGCGTTCTTCGGAGGCAAGGGCCGAGATCTGAAAATGGTCACAAGAATTAGCAACCTCTACACACGATCGGTGCTTAATATCTAGGCTTTTGTCAGCTCAGGGCAGCGACACGGCCTGGCTGGGTGGTTGCTAGCTGCTAGGCACACTACTGTGTAAATTGTTCACACTGGTACAGAGTGTGGTTGGCCGGGACCTGCGGTGGTGTCCAAGTCCAGATAGAGGGGGGTCACGGAGGGCTTTCTGAAAGATGTGCAATTGGGCCTGAGATGGTCGAACGGGATAGGGGATTATTATTGATGGGACGAAAGTGTCGATGAGGGGAGGGATGGTGGCTTGTGGTGTTTGGTGGGCGCTGATAAGAAGGAGAAGCACGAGGCACACGTCATGTTGAAGTCAAGTGCAAAGTACCTAGGTACCTGCCGCGCCTGCTTAGATAGATCAAAGGTATCCAATGATTGGGCTCGCATAAAAGAGTTGGGGTGCATCTGGACCTTCCACCTCAGCTGAACTGCCAGACTGCGCCTTCCAACCAGTGGCCAGTTTTTGGAAGCCTTCTGGTCCTTGGAGGCAGTCACGCAGTCGTAGTGTGGACTGTGGAGGCAGACAGCCAACCTGGAAATGCAATGCGGGCAGGAACAGCGAGCCAGGAAGTGGGAAATAAACAGGTCAGTCTTGCCTGAGGTGTGGTTATGCGTCTTACATAAGGTGGTTGATTTCCTGATTGATCCCCAAAGCAATCCCATCGCTCTCATTGGCTCGTGTCCAGAGAGCGAGTGGCGGTCCGCCATATCCACAACCGTCGACGGGGGCCACCTATGATCGGGCCAGCCGGGCACTCTCACGGTGAGACCTTGCTGAAGAGTCGTGGGCTTGTCTTGATTGTCTTGGACCATGCCCGCTAGACTCATCAAAAGAGTCCACTATTATGACGGGCTGGTTTCCATCTGCCACTGTTCCAGTCCTCCAGAGCCACTGATGGGCGCAAAGGGGTTCAATCCAAGCCTGTGGATCGTGTCATTTAGCGCATGGAGGGAGGAGGGCATCGAGGGCTCCGTGCTTGTCGGTGGCCTTCGGTCATGTCCTCTAATCGTTACAGCGAGATGGATCTCGGGCATTGCCCGGAGTACACATTTGCAACTTGAGACTCGAGAGTAATAAGAAGGTATTCCTAGATGGAGTTTCCAGGTTGACGTTGGAGAAATACAAAGTACTTTGGACTGGGGTTGCAGTTAGAACTTGGGACTCTGGCGCGTGACTTGAATACGGAGTACGACCCCCCCGTGGTCTCCATTCCCCGTGTTCCCCCTTGTGGCCCTTGGCCGTCTTGGACCCCCAAAATCTCATGTCACCCCAAACTCTAAGCCCAAAACATGCGGGTGAAAGGTGACGCTGTTGCCAGTAGCCGGTGGGAAGGGGGAGGGAAGGGCATGGGGAAAGGGGATTGGAGGCTTTGGAGTTTCTTATCAGTGACTTTTGCTTCGTACACAAACGTGACACAGTGACAATGAAATTGGAAAGTGAACCCTCCCTAAGCTGTTCCCTTCCTTGCGGTCACCACTGTGTAGTGTCGGTGTGTAGGTACTCAGCCAGGCCTGTGCGGCGGTGCGCCCATCCTTCGTTTGGTCGTTCGGTCTTGCTTTCTTTGGTGACTGGGTACGAACAGAAACATCTCCAAATCGGGCAGGCAGGCAGGCGGAAGGGAGCAAACGAGGCAGGCGCACCTCCTTCCTTCTTCCTTCAGGTTGGGCCGATATTGAAAGTACCTCCATCCACTACCTGGCTTCCTGCCTCCCCAAGTTGCCAAGTCACCATGTACTCCGTACTTTCTGCTTTCTACAGATAGGTACCCTCAGGCAGGCGGGACTTCGAAGGCAGGCAGAAGAAGCGACGGAAAGAGAAAAGGGGACAAGAAGGAAAAAGCATGTTTATCGGTACCAAAGTGTCCTTCCTCAGCTGAGACCGTCGTGTGAGGTTGTCCTTTCCCAGAGGTGCCTCGCTCTGCCTTGCTTTGCCTCCCTCTTGCCCCCCGTGCCTCTAGTCATTCAGCCATTTTTACGATTGACCTCCTTCTCTGCCGGGACTGAGTGACTGGCCCGGACTGCGACTGCCCCGTGCTGAGTTGTTCAGCCCGGGCAGGCACCACACCACGCTCTACTCCGTACACGACTGTCGACACACCACGACACACCCTCGACACCTTGCAAGTCGATTCCTTATCTCTGGCCTCCCATCTTGGCCCCCCGTATCAGGGTTATCAGTGTCAGAGCATCAGTGCTTGCCCCAGTCCACGGCCCATCTGCTGCTCGCTCGCTGCCTTCCCAACTTCCGTGTGCTTCGATTACCTCGATGAAGTGACATATCTGTATCATCCGTAATCAGTCAGGGCATAATCGATCCAAGTCTGATTACCTTTCTGTGCTTGGCCACCTAAAACCACAGAACCGCCTACCTTGTGCTTGCCTCAAGATCTGCCTCTTGTTAGAAGCCATTCTCAACCTCTCAACCTCTCAACTGCGACTGTGCCGCCAACTACGCGAGTCGCTCTCTCGCTTCCTCAATTCGCCACTCTTCAACTCGCGGCCTGTCGTCATCTCGTCTCCTCGACCAAGGCGCTGCGCAACGGATACGGATACCGACCCAGTCCCCTTTCTATCACAGGCGCCAACATCTACCCCGATAACCCCGGATTCCGACAATCACAGAACTCCAGGTCCAGCCCTTCCGAGACGAACCTCCGACTAATCGTACCTAATACTAATAGACAACATCGTCATCTCAAGTCTCGAATTCCTCCTCGTGACGGTTCACCATATCGTATCCTTCCATCTCCAAGGACGAAAGCATCAATACCCCAAGTCACCGCCAGGCCTTTTCCCTGTGGTGCAAATCGATAACAGCATCCACACGGTCGATCATCGTCACCTCTCAACCTCTGACGACGTACTCGACTCGCGCGCACCTGGCTCTCCACACTCTATTCAAGCACGAGACAAGTGACAAACCGCACTTTGCACCGACATCACACAACCCAAATCGGACGTTGTCTGGTACTATCTGCAAGGGCAGCAAGCAACATTCTCCCAACCCGCCTCCTTGCTTCTCGATCCCTCGCCTCGTCTGCAGCTCTAGTCAAAAGCCGGGTCCGAATACCACCAGGAACCACGCATCACATCGCATTACACGATACAAGCCTTTCGGCCCCGTGCTCCGCTGCGTCACGTCCCAGCAATCATTGCCCTTGGAAATCCCGTCGCGATTCCTGTTGGAGAAGGACTATACAAAGCCTCAACGCTGATTAGCTGCGAGACGGTTAACTTTACGTTACCAAAACATCGACGACCCCTGCCCCCGCACACGACACACTCAAGCAGCGACCGAAAGAGGATACAGTACACGCGCTGGAGAAAAGGCAGGAAGCCAAAGGCCAGACGAGCACGTCCGTTCGACGCCAAAATTCTGGTTGAACTGGTCCCCTAATCGTGGAGGTATCCCTACTTCGTCCACAGCACAGTACTTTCGCACTCGCTGAAGCAACACTGTGTGGTGGCCTGTACGAAATACATCCAGTCCAGTGAATCCACTGGTTTGGTCTGAGGTGTCTGAACCACCAACCCGCCGTGCCCACGCAACTCCACTGGTCGACCCAACCCATCTCCTTCTTAGCTTGGCCCGCTGGGGTTTATGCTGAGCAGTCAAGACTGAGAGCCCGCATCGACCCGCTTGCTTTTGCTCTTGACCTGCCCTGCCAGGCCCAGTCCCGGTTACAGCACCACACCCTGAGTTACACCCTCCTCCCCTGCCCAACGCGCTGCGGCCCTGAGCTGGTTGTGGTTGTGGTACGGATACTGGTTGTGCTCGTGCGCACTCGTGCCTGGTCTGGTCCCCTTCCACACCCCTTCCCTGTCAACCTGTCTTGCCTGTCGGGTCCGGCTTGCCCCGCCGAGCCACTGGCGCACCAGGGCATGTCCAGACGCCGCCATGATGTCCCCAAGGAGTTTCCTTTACTACAATAGGCAGCCCTCGGCCTCGACCACCCCTCCACCATCTTCTCCCTCCCCTTCAAGTCTCACGCGCAAACCGACCAACAACAGCTACGCCGCCAGCCCGAGATCTACTGCTACTGCTGCTGCTGCTATTACAAAGACGACATCAACCACTCCCGTCAACATCCCCAGAACGGCTCTGCCTTCTGCCCTACTGGATCGGAAAAAGGATGCTCAGAACGTGTCCGTCACCCTCGCGCCTATCCCTACTTCTCCCACTACCACCTCAGCTACCATGGCCAAAAGGAAGGATGCTCGCCGCGAAACTTCTAAGTTGGCGCCTTCGAGCCCTCCCCGGACAACAACCAGCGTAAATACTAGGCCGACGACTCCGACTACGCCTGTTCAGATTCCTTCAAAATCAAAGGCAACCCCGTTTTACACCTCCAACCGCCATGCGCATCGGAAGACCTCCCGTCCGAGGGATGTCCACTCGCCGGACGCCGTCCCGCCTGCCATGCTGGCCCTGTTGGCGGTCACTGACATTCCTCGGCCTCGACGCAGTTTGAGGCAAAGGCTATCCAGAGACCAGGCCATGACTCTGGAAGCCGTTATCGAGAGACAGCAAGTTTGTGAAAAAGAACTTAGTCTCACTTTTGGCAAGAGCCCCCTGGACCTACTGTTGTCGCCACCCGACGACTTGACAGACGACGATATGTCAGTTAGCGATAGCGGTCTTGGTTCCGTATTATCCACCAGAACTGTCTCTGTGGAATCAGTTCCCTCACTAGGCGATTCCTTTTCCACCGACACACTATCGTCGGTTGAGTCACCGTATGGATCCAGCCCGCGAAGGAAGCGCTCACGCCAACCCAGGCGTTCGCTGGAGCCCATATCGTCTCCTCCCGGTCAGCCCGAGGACCACCCGTTGTCCCGCGACCGGGTCAGCGTTGACGAGATTGACTTTAGAGTATTCGACGAGTCTCAGGATGAGGAGGACACCAAGTCAGAGTTCTCCTTTTCTGACTACACTTTCCCGCTGCGCCCTCTCAAGTCAGCGTTCAAGTCCAATTTGACTGCATCGCTTCGCGCCCTGCGCTCGGCTGCACGATCCATCTCAGCCATCAACTTTTCGTCTATCCCGCCCGACGACTTCCTCACGAGATCCATCCTCACCATCGACCCCAAGGTCCCTTATACGGATGAGCGACGACCCCCGGTGCTCGAGGAGGAGCCGTCGGCTGCGTTGCGTCGGTACCTGAACCCCACGACAAACGCTCGAATTGAGCCCCACCCTGTAGCGGCCACTACGCCGACGGGCACGCGAAGCTTTACTGCGTCTATCCAGATGCAAACATACAAGGTTCAGAAAAGCCGGAGTGCACCACCCACATCAACTCGGAGCCCATCCCCGGCGACATCGGCGGTCACGACTCAGTCAACACCTTATCAACCCCCAGCACAATCTCCGACCCAGACCGCATTCACGTATCCTCCCGGAGGCATGCGTCAGCGAGAGATGCGGGAGAACTCGGACTTCATTCGTATCGCGGTCATGGAGATGGCGATGCGCAAACAGGGCAAGCTCGATGACCAACGACTAGGCCGCGCACGCTGGGCGTTGCCGCCGCGAAAGGCCAGCGTACGTCCTTACGATGTCGGCACCGACGGCGTCCCGGCACGATGGATTCCAGTGTCGCATTGAAAAGAGTGTCATGCGAGCTTGGTAATTCAATCAACTATCTACCCCATATCGCATCAACCCGACACAGTCCACTCTGAAGACAAGAGAGATGCAACACTGCGCACCGATGCCGCAGCGTGGACAGACCCCACGGCTTGAGCACGTCACAATCCTACGAGGATTGAAGTTCCATCGTCCATGGCCGACGGCAAGCTTGTTTTTTTTTTTCTTCTTTTCTTGCGATGGGTGTGGCTTGTTCCATGGCAAGGCGCTTCCCCCCTCCTACAAGGTGCAGCACTACGACGGTGCTGTCCGCGGAGAAGGGCAGAAAGCAAGAAGTGGGAGGGTCGGGGTTCTGCGATATGTTGTGGGCTTGCCCTGATTGCACCGTCACTGCCGGGTGGAATCGTCATTCAGCAGGGCCCCCCGAGGCGCTAATTTACGGGGAAGCGTTGGGGCCTGCATTCCCAAGCAACAAGGGGCCAGACATTAAGTGCGCCTGCCTTATCCGATATCGCGGAATGGTCAGCATCATCGCGCGTCTGGCACTGTGCTTTCCCTGTCGGTCTTTGGTCAGAGTACCGAGACGAGGGCTCCATTTTCTGCCCGAAGCGTCAAACAGGCCGTCTGGGGCACCCAAGACGAAAGAGACGCTGTTACGCTGGAACTGGCACGACTGGCTAGCGCCCCCCAAGGATTTTTTTTCTCTTTCCTTCTTGCGCTTCTAGAAGGAGTCGATCTGCGGGCCTTTTTTACATGCTCTTACCTTACCGTTTGGTAATAGCCAGAGGCACTTTTGCATTTCGCCTACCGCTTGCCGCCTGCGGGCGAGGAACTTTTTGACGGCCGACGGCCGACGGCACGCTTTTTTCTCGAAATGAGCACGCACACCTTTTTGCGGGTCAACACTACCTGCTGTTTTTGTCGACTTTTCTAGAAGCGAGTATCACCGACTGAGGGAGTGGACCGCGAGGCCCGAGAGGGATCTTGGAGCAATCTGAGTGAGTCACCCGAGGCGTACCAAAGAAATAGGGAAAGGACGGAGCAATCCAAGCAAAACGACGGACGCGAGATGCGCTGGCAGGAACTTGCCCTACGAAAAGAACGGAATTGGAAAGGGGGTTTCTCGAACGACAGAATTGGTGGACACACGTCCGACACACGTCCAACACACCCTTCGCGCACAAGCGCACACAGCATACACAGCCAAGCGTCCGTACCTACACGGCCCGGTTCCGAGAGCATGGCCTGATGCCACCGACATGCGACGAGCACCTCCGAGTTTCCTCCCAGCGAGTGAGCCTGGGAGATGCAGGGCCAAGACTGCCCGGCGACGTGGGGTCACAGCATAACGCACGCTGCAAAGCCCCCGGCACAAAACACACACACACTCACATGGGTGAGCTAAAGGACCAGGCCACCACTCACAGCACCTTTGATTTTCATTTGATTCGACACCATACGCATAGCGACGGACTGGGATCATGAGCATTTGAGGCGCATGCATATTATCATTTTTTTTTCTTCCATCTTTCTTCCCACCCTCTCATTCCATTCTCCCTCCGCCCCTCCGGTTATTTCCTACGACACTGGACTCGACCAGGAACCTGAAGACAGACCGTTGTAAGAACCCGAAACCCGTGGGTTTGTCGATATCCACTCGGAGGACAAATCCACACCTCACACGCGGCACGAACTCGGAGGGCGCAATCTGCGGGGACTCTTCATCGGATCCGGCTCCAGCAAGAGTTCCCCCCACGCCAACAGCCCATCCCCTGGCGGGACATTGACTCGGCCCTCGCATGTGAAATGCAGGCCGAGTTGTGACGCCAAAATGACCAAACGGGGACGCAGCGACATGACTCAGGGATAGCGCACGCACAACACACGGCGGGAATGGAACAGGGCAAGGAAAGATTTTTTTTTCTTTCTTTCTTATCTATGCATGCGAGATGCGAGAGGACACTGCGACGACGCAGGAGAGCCGGAGATTTGGATTAGGAAGGTGCTGCCGCGAGGGATGATTTATTACGGAGTACAGCGCAGCGACAATTCCCAGCGTGTTAGGATGGGAACATGGGAATTCAACAATACGGCATCAGAAACCGTATGGGTAGCATAGGCGCCCTACTGGGGCACATTGTTTTTGGTTGCAGAGCCCAATCTCACATCACATATTGAACAAATATTCTTACAAGCATTTACTGGCGGAGGTTGGAGAGTTGAGTTTCCCACATACAGTACTTTATGCAGGGCAAGCCGCAAAGCCCAGGAACACGTTGCGCGAACAAGGGTCACAAAACGCACTGATGCATAGAGGCCTAACCCCAATGTTTACTTGGAGCAATGCCAGCCTGCCAGGTGGGTGCAGAGCAACCGCCAGACACAAACTGCTGACCGCCTTGAAAGGGGTTGCTGGCTGGGCTGGCTACAGCTGGCGCAAATATACGGATAGAGCGTGCGAAATTGCGACAATATGACCGGGGTGGACAGACAGGCGGTCAAGTCGCCCAAGTCACGCTCACATGTGGCAGAAGTATCGAGAAATTGAGGTTGGGCTGCGGATCATCATTCACCGCAGAGAAGGGCAGATGCGGCCAAGCCGAAGACGTGGCTCACGACTGGCATGTCTTGTCTGTCTTCTCTTGCCAAGTCGCGCTCGCTTCCAGTCGGCGGACCGACATACTATCGGACTTGTCGGACGACGATGCCCTACGCTACCTGGTGGTGGGGGCTATTTTGATTCTCACTTTCGGAATTACCTAGGTTAGTAGTCTTCATTTTTTCCAGTAGCACACACGCGGGCCGGAAACACTGACATTTTGACAGCTCCATGTCCGAGAGACAAGCGAAGCCCGGCTTGGAACAGCCGCCAGCCTACGGGATTCGGGAGTGCAAAGGCAGGCCACAGAGTGCAAACACTGAACACAATAATTCCACTTTGTGCACTTGTGCGCTCGGGGCCGCCACGCCTCGGCAGTTGGCAGCCATTGATGCCACCAATTGCCCAAAGAGAATGCGGAATGTGGAAGTTCACGGATAGGGCTCCAGTCTCCAGGAGTCCCGACTCTAGAGCGTTCTCCAGTCTCCAGAGTATCTGTATTCGTACGGATACTTCGCACAGAGTGAGCATGTTCTTTTGTGGCCGCAGCCCAGTGCGGGAAAAGTTCGCCACCTCCTTGCAGATGATGTTACCAAATCGTCGGGATCCGCTCGGGACGTCGCGCGTTACGCGATGGTGCGCCCGTTTGCACATGGCTGTGGCGACGATGGTTGGTATCTGCGCTGCTATGTCTACGGATACGGTGTACGGTTACCGGGGCTTGTCAGTCATCACGGTTTCTGTGCCTTGTGGCCTTCATTCCTCAAGGGTTTTATGGATATTGTTACGTGTTGAGGGACAATTTTAAGGGGTCCCAGAAACTCCCATGTGGTGTTCCAGGGAGAACCAGTCAACCAGAGCAGTTCGAGGTAATTACATAGTAGGGGGGTCCTTCTTGCGGGCGCTCCGAAGAGGGGGATGAGAAGCATCCTTGCAAGTTTTCTTACGATGTCTAGGAAAGCAATTTGTTGACAACCAAAGAATACGGTCAACATCGTATGGATAAGGAAAGCCCTACGGTCAATCCTTGGGGCGTGAGGTTCAGAAGAGCAAGGACTTGACGGTGAACTTTGCACAGGGCTCCGGTGGGTGTAAGTCTACCTTGGGATGCAGGGATCCGCGGGTGATTTCTCATTTCCTTGCGCGCTGCCCGCTTCTTTAGCGGAGCCTTGCTCACACTCTTTTTTTTTCATTCTCTCTCTCTCTCCTGCCAATTTTCTATTCGTACACGGTACAACGTAATATGGAGCCAACCGACATCGTGGCCTTCTAGAAGGAGGTTGGGATGTTCCTTGGCTGGACTGGGCTTTCTTATCGGTCCCGACTCCCCCTTCGGTTCGTGCTTGCCGACTGCCTTTTTGAGAAGGAGGTGAAGGAGGCTTTTTGGAGCCTTGGAGGTTAAGCTTCGGTCGTTGGAAGGGGATCTGGAAGGCGGTAAGGATGTAGGGGTTTGAACGTCTGGACTGAAGGGACTTTTGGATCTCTGCTAGTAACCGCGGGGAACCTTTGTTTTTCTTTCGTGTTGTGAGATTTGACTATGAGAAAAAATTGAATACCTTCCTCAGGTAGACTAGGGGCAGACTTTTGTGCATTATGATGAGATGAGGGAATTGAGCACGTGGTGATGTGTTGAAATGATGGGCACTTTTCGGGCCCGTGGCGGTTATAGACGGGTGAGGGAAGTCGTTGAAATTCTCGCGTGAGGTGTGTGATTGTGGTTTGGATATGTCCAGTGGATTGAGGCTCAACGTGTTTGTGCCTTGTGGATGCCTACCTGCCGCACTACCTTTGTGTGTTTTCGTACAGACTAAGGATAACTGAAGAGGATATTCTGCCTTTAGCGATGGAATTTTTACACAATGGTTGTACGTTTGTGAATACAGAAGGAAATCTTGAGATTTGATAGATACATTGTGATTCGCGACATTTTCCATCCGCGCTAGGTATGTGCGTAGGGTCAACGGGAACAAGGTTTGCTGGGATGAATAAGAGGGAGAGGGTACGGTGGGATTAGTGAGGACGGTTATGTATGGAGGGTTATGGATGAGGGATTGTGAAGAAGGTGGATTGGTATTTCTCTACGGAGTAGGGGCAGAGACAAAGAGGAGTCCGATACCTATTGCTGCGGTAAGAGTCAGGAAGGCGATTTTTGAGTTTCGGGGAGCATATTGGGTGACGGGGTTGGGCTAGTCAGGGTAACTTGTTTCTTACCTTTGTATCTACGGAGTACGAGTACTCCGTATGGAGTACTGGATAGCAGATAAGGCACGTAGGGACTTATTGGTGCTTGGCGTGATTGGTGAGGCGGTGAGCGGCGGATGGGTACGAAGTATGCGAGATGGACGTTTAGATCTTTGGTGTGTTGATGTGATGGGTGTGACTGCGGGGAGCGGGACGGGACGAGAGGGTGGCGGCGATGGGGATGGTGATGGTGTGTACCTTCGACCGGGCGAACGGTTCATGGCTTTCGATGGAGGGTTTGGGTACATGTAGATTCTAGTCTGAGTTGCGTGATGGGTTTGAGGATGTATCGGGAGACTAGTATTGGTGTTACGGGGAGTTACAAAGAGTGTACAGAGTGAGAGTTTGGTGGCGTGGATTGCGCGAGGTGATGCGAGGATGGTGTTTACATGTTCTTTCTTGATGGCGACATTTTGGGGACGGGTGGTGTACTTGGAGAAGGAGGGGGAGAGAGCACGTATTTAGGGGAGGGCATTTCCCCCTTTTGTACCTCTTCAGATTCATCGTTTTGTTCTGGTGACTTGCCTCGTGATGCAAGATACGGGTTTCTGGGAGAATATTTGGTTGAGGTTCTGGGGCCGAGGTCGTGGTCAGAGGAGTATGGGAGGTGATTGATACATGATCGATCGCCTTGGCTACGCATCATCACGACGAAAAGCCCCTTCCCCCGCGAACGATGACGACAATAGCAAAGCGGCTGTGCAGGGATGGAATTGGATTTGGGTGAAGAGCATGGGAGACCAGCTTATGCTGTTGCAAAATATGGTGGGAGTTGTTAATGGACCAGGAAGGGGAGGAGGTTGGGGTATTGACAAGAGGAGGGAATGCCGAAAGGAACTACTGGGCGAGGGGGACGACCTTGTGCCACGATTGCTTCGACGACGACGTCAGACGCGGGCTTTTGAGATGGGATATGGACGAGACCGAAAACTGTCTTTGTGGAGGACGGTCCAGGTCTGGGTAGTCATGTCTTCCACGCGGGACCGAGAGGATGGGGTTTCTGCGGACGATGCTGGGGAGACATCGTGGGCTCTGGAGTTATTGAGTTGTGTGCTACCAGGACGGGCATCGACGTGTGTTGGGTATCAGCGGGGTTGATAACACGCTGCCTGCGAACGAGAGATGGACGAAGCCGATGACGGTATTTTTGCTGTCGTTGTTGGGGAATGGTGCTGATGTAAGAGGAGGGATCTCTACGCGGTGCGATTAGGTTACGAAGGAAGAGGTTGGTTTAGATGAGGAGAGTCAGGGTCTCGAGGCCTGGGCTATCGCTGACTTGTATCGGTTGGCATAAGGAAGGTCTTGAAGGTAGGGGTTATAAGCTTGCGGGAACATTGGGACTAGGTGAGTGATACTTTGGAAAGTGTTTCCCTCGGCCTTTGTAGGGCTCGTGAGAGTTGAGGCAGTAGGCGTCTTGCTATTTGATGAAGTAGTATTTGTTGTTGATATACGACGACGATTCCCGTCTCTTTCCGAGATATCATAGAGCACTGCACTCTAGTCTGTTCGGGACGACTTTCTTGCCTTCGAGAGACCGCGGCTTTTCTACGTCATGGTTGAGTTGGCAAGATGGTGACGTTATATCTGAGCCGCGGCCGGAAGACGGTATTAGATGATTAGGCTTCCCTGGTATGCTATTCACCTTTTCTGAGAGCACTGCCGATGAGGCAGATGGAAAAAAGAGGATGTGGGAGCTCATCTTCGTGTCGAGGGGATGGTTTTGATCGTCGAAGCTCCGCCTACTACTCCTGTATAGATCTCAATCATCTTAGCATTGCGATTAAAGCCCCACGCAAGATCTTTATGATGTCTCCGATGGGTCTCAGTGAACGACGTTTCCAGACACGTCAGAATCCACTTGTGCTGATACTTTGGTTCCGCAGCCACGTCTTTGTAGGTCTTGATCTTCTAACATTCAGGTAGATTGCCTCTGGGGATGCAAACTTGGTAGCGAGTGGACTGCCATGATCGTCCTTCGACACATAAAGTCAAAGTCGGGTCCACAGGTGTACGGGCGATCTAGAAAAGGGATTGCGAGAAGTTGGTTGGCAAATAGCCAGAACTTGATAGGATGCGAATGTATTCGTGTTGCGGCGTGATTCTTTCGCTGTCTATTCAGAGGGCGTCCGCTATTGTGGAAGCTCAAAGTGATCAGAACTTCTGGCCTTGATAAAGGTGACGGGAAATGAGGGCCTGTGATTCCTACCCAGAAATCCAATGCTATCAGTCCAGCTAACACTCGATAGACTAGAAGCTGAAGGCGTTCACGGTCTCGAGCCTGTCAGGGATAACATTTATCTCGGGAACCTCAAGCAAGGAGATCTCGTAGAGCCTGGGACTATGAGCCCGCAACATCTGCTGACACCGCCTTGCCTGGTTAATCGCCCCCGAATTACGTCTATCTCGTTTGCGCTTCCAAAAAATGATCCCTTTCTTACCACAAATATCCTATCTTTGCTCGTCGTTGCTCATCCAGTGTCTTCGGAAACCTCCCATTGAATCAAGAGAGCCGTCGATGTCTGAGAGGGTTTTCTCGCTGAATGTGGCGAGATCAACTTCTTGAGCGATATCTTTGGGGACTGCCGAGCTGGAGACCTCTCGCAGCGCAACTTGTCTTTGGTGTTTATCTTCAAGACGGACGAATTTGGCCATGAATCTACGAGCAAGTTTCTAGGTCTCACAAAGCAGCTGAGGGCCCGATCAAGAGACGTTGGCAATGTGATGGCGAAGGACATGCTTCTACTGGAGGTATGGTGCTGCATCGATGGGCTCGACCGGTTTCGTACGTTGATGTTTAGGCGACTCGATTTTCTCAAGAGAATGTGTGATAATGAGGGGCAACCAAATGTCACGAAATCTAGTTTTAGGGAAGGATTAGGATTGGGTGCATCCCTCTCCGCGAGAGGCATATGGGTAGAGCGTGGTAGGTAGGAGCGAGAGAGGACTGGAAGAGTTTCTTGGAGCCGAGGCCGTAGTAAGGTAATATCAGCTACATTCACGCGATGGCCGATGAGTGAAGGTACCGTCTCGCTCTCTGCTAAGCACACTCTAGCCCATCCAGTTAGGAAAGACAACTCCTTCGTTCATGAATCCGACCAGGGAACCCGATGGACACATCAGGTCGTTAGTGCTGTCACTCGGTCTCCGATGTCCGTCTTGAATGAGAAGTGAATTTGAAGTCACCTTGAGCCCTTGAAACATGCCATCCGAACGTCATCACATGTCACGACTAAAGAAGCCAGGTGTGTCTTCACACGAAAGTTGGCCCACGAATCAGGATTGTGGTGCAGCTGAAGCCATACTGTCTTGATATGACAAACAGCTATGGAAAAGTTAGATGGCTTGACAGGCGTCGTGCAAAAACACCAGAAAAACTTCGATGCAGCCAATAATAATATCACAGCAGTAGGTATGGCTCAAAATCATGTCTTCATTTCGGGGCCAACGCCCAACCTATCCTCTGAACGCCATCTATCATGCCCGGGGCCTCGTGAAAACCCGTATTGAGGCTAAGCAACAAAGCGAAATTTCTACCCATCTCATGACGCGTTCGCGCTCACGTCATTGAAAATCTTCTTCTTGACCTCCATCGCAACGAGACCAGTCCGCTCCTGCATCGCCACGGTGTTGCTGTCCTTGACAAGCTTCTCGAGCAGTCCATCGACCTTTTTGCTAGCCGCGCCGACACCACCCGCGCCCGGCGCACTACGTCCTTGGCGAGCGACCTGCGTCGTGGTCTCCTTGATCTTGGATGCGAGATCGAGCATCTGCTTGTTTCCATAGTCGCGATTCGTGATGAGCGGGCTCTGGCTTAGCGTCTGCACCCAGTACTTGTGCCACAGCAGCTCCAGCATCTGGGACTCAAGCGTGCTCTTGAAGTGGGACACCTCGAGGCTGTAGTACTTGTTCGCGTGGGCGCCAAACTCTGCTGCCTTCGCCAGCGGGACTTCCTGCCATCCGTCGCTGGTGACGCCACTGCCACTGGCTCCGCCCTCCTTTTCCTTAATGTAGTTTTCGGGGTACGTCCGGAAGGCACCAATCTCTACCTTGCCTGCGTTTATGGTGCGGTCGGGGTCGATGACGACGGCGAGGAAAGGTTCCTGGAACTGCTGCTGCAGCGCCTGGGTGCCGACGTCGATGCCGGACAGCCAGCAGCCGTAGCCCGGGTGGGAGTGGTACCATCCGACGACGTTCTCCATCCTGCCCTGCTCACGACAGAGGCTGAGGTATTCGACCATGTACTCTTCGGCATCGCCCTGGGCGTTGACGCGCGTCTCTGTTCCCTCGACGGGTAACCGGAAGGCATCTGTGACGATGAAAGTGTCGCCATTGACATAGCCCTGCATGAGACCCATCACCTCGAGGTTGCCGCCGGAACGGGCGTGCATTACCATCTTGATGAGAGCCACGGCGCTTATGCGTACATTTTTGAAGTGGTTCGGGTTCGCGGCCCAGGGGCGTGCGTTCATCTGTTCCTTCTGGGCATCGAGGTCGAGGTTGTAGAGGGCGTCGCGTTTGGTGTCGACCAACTTTACGTTGTTGTCGAGCTCTATGGCAGGTGGTCAGCTGGGGTTGGCGCGACAATGGCAACAGTGCAAGGGGTTCGGAACATACCCCACGACTTGAGAGCTGTCTCCATCTTGACTGCTCGTCTTTGTGTGAGCAGCTTTGATTGCAGGAGATGTCGTTGGCAAGTGATGGCGACGGTTCACGGGAAGGTTGGAGACCAGGGTGGTGACAGCCTACAGGCACTTACCCCACCATCCAGGTGCCTCAGCTGTATCTAATCGATAAGATAAAGCTATCACATCAATGGGTGCATTACATAAGCCTTTGCGACCCACATTTGGAGAGCCACGCACTCGTGAAGCCAATTAGGACCTGAGTTATCAAGACCTCACGACGACACCTCTCACACACCATCACTACGGCGAATACCAGCTAGACAATGGCTCACATCAAACCCAGGAAAGACGATGTTCGTATACAATGAAAAGAGAAACGACGGACAGATTTCAGTCAGAATTCTGGCTTCGGTCTCGATAAGCTGGCACGGATCCAGCCGGAATTTGCGGTTTGAACGCAGCAGACGAGATGACGGTTTGCTTTGACCTTTGAGAATTTGAGCAAAGTAAGAAAAGAATCGGCACATGGCCGCGAGACATAGCAATTGGAATTGGAGATTCGAACTTTCGGCTATGCTCAGGCCTCCCGTCTCGTCTGCTATTTCCATGTGGCTACATACTGACATTGCGATGAAGTTGAGAACTGCCAAGTGGAACTAGTTCGGGAGATGGCCGTCCATGATCCACGGCTCAATCGATGGTACAAATCAGCGGGAGATGGGCAAAAGATCACGGGGGTTCTTGGGGAAAGGACCGAAAGCGATCCTCTACGAGTTGTTGCGACCCAAGACTCGCAGTTCCTGGCAATGATCCTTTCCGAAACGAATCACTGGGCGCCCCTGGTAGATCACGTTCGAACAGCAACTCTTGGCAAGGTGGGAACCCGTGAGCCTCCAAGTCGCTGGGTCAAGTGGCTCCAACAAACGACACACGTCATGGCATTTTCGGATATCGCCAGTCCCGGGTCTCTTTTGCGCGTATTCCAGCGTGGACGTCCGTCAACCAGTCTATGGGATCTTGATCGGGGTCTCCGCTGCTTTCGCATCCCCCGTACGGACATTACGAGCGCGATAGCGAGGGTTGTCCCAGTCACCCCGCCTCCGCGGTGGGCGGCCGGTCCGGCTCCGAGATGTTTCGACATCATCCCAACGTCAGGAATGACTTTGAGGCGAAACACTAATTTCGTCGCAACACGTTGCGGTTGATGCAAGCAGCGAAAGAGGAAAAAAACTAAGAAGAATCAGACCGATGTCTTGCCGGCCTTGCGACGGCAGTAGAGTTTCACGGTCAACGACGCACGACCAAGGACATGTTTGGGCCAAAGAGAATAGGTGCGCACTTTGGTACTGTCATTATTACTGTTAAAAATATATGGAAAAATGAGAAGCTGATTTTCTAGTCTACACAACACAGCATTGGCCAAGTTTGTTTGCGAACGCGAACCAGTCAAACGAATCCGAACTTGATGATTTGCTGTGAATTTCGGACTCTAGATACAAGGAGAACTGGCGGTCGTCTGAACTCAAGGGTTGCCCTGGTCAGAGCATTAAGTTGTTGGCCCCCCATATCTGCCAATGTTGGACAACCCCCTTAGGCGGTGAAAGCGCGAGCCTCAACGGCGGCGTACTCGTCGCGCTTCGCGGCCTTGGCCTTCTTGGTCTTCTTGGTCTTCTTGCCGCGGTGATGGGGCTCACGAGTCTCAACGGCGTGCTCGGCGGCGTCCTCGGAAGCGAACTCGTCGCGCTTCGCGGCCTTGGCCTTCTTCGTCTTCTTCGTCTTCTTGCCGCGGTGGTGGGGCTCGCGGGTCTCGACGGAGTGCTCAGCGGCGTCGTCGGAGGCGGACTCCTCACGCTTAGCGGCCTTCGCCTTCTTGGTCTTCTTGGTCTTCTTGCCGCGGTGGTGAGGCTCGCGGGATTCGACGTCGCGGGCCTCGAGGGCCTCATCGACAGCAGACTCCTCACGCTTAGCGGCCTTCGCCTTCTTGGTTTTCTTGGTCTTCTTGCCGCGGTGATGGGGCTCGCGGGCCTCAATCTCGTGCTCGGCAGACTCGATGGCATCCTCGGAAGCGAACTCATCGCGCTTGGCGGCCTTCGCCTTCTTCGTCTTCTTGGTCTTCTTGCCACGGTGGTGGGGCTCGCGGGCTTCGATGTCACGAGCCTCGAGGGCCTCGTCGACGGCGGATTCGTCGCGCTTAGCAGCCTTCGCCTTCTTCGTCTTCTTCGTCTTCTTGCCGCGGTGGTGAGGCTCGCGGGATTCGACGTCGCGGGCCTCGAGGGCCTCATCGACAGCAGACTCCTCACGCTTAGCGGCCTTCGCCTTCTTGGTTTTCTTGGTCTTCTTGCCGCGGTGATGAGGCTCGCGGGCCTCAATCTCGTGCTCGGCAGACTCGATGGCATCCTCGGAAGCGAACTCATCGCGCTTGGCGGCCTTCGCCTTCTTCGTCTTCTTGGTCTTCTTGCCACGGTGGTGGGGCTCACGAGCCTCGATATCACGGGCCTCAAGGGCCTCATCAACAGCAGACTCTTCGCGCTTAGCGGCCTTGGCCTTCTTAGTCTTCTTAGTCTTCTTGCCGCGGTGGTGAGGCTAGGTGAACGTGTCAGTATATGTAACCCTTTGACATGAGCACATTTGAGCAGATTAAATCTTACCTCACGAGCCTCGATGCTGGCGGCCTGCGGCGCAGCTAGGGCAGGCATGGCGAGTGCCAAGGCGGGAGCCTATTTAACCTCACATTAGTCCTCGCGTTCCCACAGTTTAGACTCGTCGTGGAGGTGAACTTACTACATAGCGTCTGGCGACCTGACCCGTGGGGATGAGGTTGAAAGACTGAACACCTTGGACGGCAAGGATGCTCGCCAAGAGGAAGTGGCCAAAGGATGGGTAGTGCATCTTGAAAAGAATGATTGGCTGACCGGCAGCAAATGACAGCAACTGGATTACAAGAGAAAGGAATGAAGGGTCGCGTCAAGCGATCAGGGGCCAACAATGGAATGAGATGTACGGATGGTCAGGCAATGGTGGGCTGATGAGCGGGTTTGAGAAGATATTATATCTTGCTCAAAGACCTTTGCTTTTCGTCCCTCCACAGCAAGTTGACAAGGCACCCCCCCCTTCTGGCACGGCACTTGATCCATTCGCAAGTCTCCATTCGACTAAGTGACGAAGGCATGGGTTGAAGCCCCAAGTTTGGACGAAAAGGGCCTCGACTAGAAGGCGTCAAACTTTGATCGGCCTGCCGCGTAGGACCAGAAACGTCTCAGAGTCGGGAATCCAGATGGAAAGGGTCTGAAAGAGGGTGGAGAGACAGGGCCATGGGCTATGACGGCTTGCGATGGTTGCTCGGACTGAGCTAGCCGCAAAAGATGGGACTCGTTCAAAACTCGTCGGGGCTACGCTGATGATGTCGAACAGCACGAATATGCTGGACGCGGGGAGGCTGGAGGGGAGGTCCTGGACTGGGATGTGAGCCGAATCCCGCGCTTGCGGTATCGTTGTGGTCCTCTTCCTCCACTTCGCAAGCTCGTATACTCCTCGTAACAAGCAATGAGAACAACAAGCATACTACCTTATTCCCTTTAGACATGAACATGGCTGCGGTACTGGACTCGCTTGCAGTTTCAGTTCCAAGAAGTTCCAAGACTACCCTGGGCGGTCAGCAGACTGGGGGCACACAGGGAAAAGCCGAGGGTGTTCTCTCATTGTGCCTGGCGTCTCCTTCGACAGACCCCAACACGATCTGATGCTAAGCCTAATCGACAGCACGTTATGGAAGGTCTTCGCGACGCCGCCGTGTGTCGGGGAAATACGCTGGTAGGGTGGCCCGGTGATGATCCATCACCCATCTCCTGTGGAAGAATGAGCCGCACAAGGGATCTCTGATACAGCCACAGTCCCAGAATGCCAAGACCTGACAGAAACCGAACCTGGGAATGAGAGTAATACTCCGTACCGACTCAAAACCGACCACTCAACCAGTGTTGTTGGTGTCCTGTAGTGGTGGATATTCAGGAACCATGCGGCATCAAGTTGCCGGGTTTTGAGCCTCATAGGCGGCCCGAGCTCTTCCCTGGCGCGCTGCGGCGTTCATGAGTGGTCGGTGCCTCCCCTGTGGGATGGGCTGGAGGCGCTGGAACGTGGTGACTGGTCGTGGGATGTCCCCCGCAAGCCACACCCCGTCTCACCAAACTCCGCGTTTCGACACGCCCCTGTTCTGAGACACCGCACCAACGCCTCAGCTTGGCCATTACCGGGGGCCCCTTTTTGTTGCTTCTCTCTCTTCAACTCTTCTTTATGGGCAGAAGGTTCTCAGCTCTCTCATTCCTCGAGGAGAAGGGCTGCCGCTGGGATGGAGACAAGGATACAAGAGCCAGGGCTTGACTAGACCTGACATGAGTAGCCCTGCAGATGTTACCAAGACTGCACGAAATCCCGTTCATGGGATTGTTCACCAACAAGGGGTAGCCCAATCACGCCGTGGTCATTGGACGAGAGCGGCTAATTATTTCCGCCATCTATTATCATCAGTGCACACCAACCTGTACGAGTATGCCCATGGCACACTTGACTAAGACTCGTGCAAGTTGTACTCGACGAGTCGACTTGCATTCCCACCCCGGCTGTGACGGAGTCAGCCTCGTCTGTCTCGTCTATTCTTGCTTGGGATGATCGGCCTCATGGCCTGTGCCGCAACTTCGCAACGAAGGTCAAACAGCCCAAACGTTTCTGGTGGCTGGATGACATCTCGCTGGCTGGCAATTTCCATCCGACTATCCAGAGCCTATGCCACTATGGTCCATGGATCCCAATTATCCAACGGGGCGAGGTTGCATTGCACCCACCTGCCAGACGGCGACTTTTCCTCCTCGGTCTTGGGCGACGGGTCCTCCCAAGGTCGAAGTGCCTGTCATGTTCGAGTTGGGACATAGTTGCGCGTTCTCTCTAGACTCTCTCGCTGACGCTGCCTCTGCCCGTGCTCTCTCCCGAGTCTCCCACCCCATCGAACTCATCGACTTGGACCGTCTGTGATCACCCATTAGTTTGGTAATCTGATTTTCCGCGCCCGAAGCGATCGTCTTGGCACTCGTCTCTTCTTACCTTCTCAGACAGCTGCTGGCCTTGCCTCGAACTGTTTCCCCCTCCCTTCTCCCCATTCTGTGCATACCACTCTACCATTCTCCTTCTTGTCTCTTATTTTTGTTTGGTCACTTTCAATTCCCATCATCCGTTTCTATACCCGACTTGACGTCGTTGTACCAATCTTGCTGTCAACTTCGATACAGCATCCCTTCTTTCGCCTTCTATTCTTTTTAATAAGGCACCTGGCGTGCTCCAACTTAACCTTCGGTGCTACTACCTTGCCACTGAGAGGGTTCCTCCTTCTTTTATAATCATGTCTTCAGAAAAGGTCTACCAGTCCGTACCCTACGAGGAGGAGGAAGTCGAGAGTCTCGCCGGAAGCCTCAACACGGAGAGTACGGAAAACGTAGAGACTGCCACAGCAGGAAACGAACCGGCTTGGAGGCGGATGAGGCTCGGCGATGAGCACCCGTGTAAAGAGAAGGCGCGCCGGCTCCTGCGGTACTGGCCTTGGGCTCTCCACGCCGTGCTTTTGATGACGTCTGTCACGCTGTTCGCTGCATCATTTTGCCTGCGTTATGGCAACACCAATAAGGACGATACATGGGTGACGGAGAAGTACTCATCATGGTGTAAGAATCATCGCCTGAATGCCTATAGAGCTCTTCATCTTGGCTGACAGTTCATAGCCCCTGCTGCAGGAATCATCAAGTACCACACCGAGAGGTACAACCTGACCCCCATCATGGACTGGTCACCGTTCGTTGGTGCTGGATACGAGATCGATCGCGCATGGGATCACATCACAAACAACAGTAGGAAACCTCTGCGATGATGGGCGATGGGATAACATGAACTAACAAGGTGTAGTTGGCGACCAGATGATCTCGCGCGCCGAGCTGGACAAGCTCGGCCTCGATCCCAAGTCAATCAAGACCACCAACGCCGTTACGGGCGAGGAGGGATACCGCGTCGGCCTCGAGGTGTTCCACCAGCTTCACTGCCTGAACCTGCTCCGTCAAGCTACGTACCCCGAGTACTACTCAAGGAAAGAGGTCGGCGGCGACGTGGCCGTTGAGCACAAGGACTTGAGAGGACATCTGAGTAAGTCATGATGAATTTCAGCGAGAGCCGAGCCATGCTAACTATCCATCCTCTAGACCACTGCATTGAAGCCCTGAGGCTGAACCTGATGTGCGAAGCCGACATTGGCGTCTTCACGTTCAAGATGTACCCGGATCTCCCACTCGAGGGCCACTGGCCCGACTTCAGCACGCTACACACCTGCCGCAATTTCAACGACGTCCGCGACTGGGCGCTGACCCATTCAGTGACGTTTGAGAACGAGGAATAGGCTTTCGGCACCCCTCCCTCCCCCCCCCCCCCCAGTTGAAAGGATCGAGAATGAGTTTTGAGTTGCCCGTGGGATGGGAAAGGTGGTGGTGGACAGGGTAAATTAGCAAGGGTACACCTTCATACATACAAAAAAGCATACCGGCGGCAATGCAGACCGCAAACGGAATACAACTTCCCCAAAGGACAAATAAAGCCTCAACAGAGTTTCCTGTCGACGCCTCGCCTCAAATCTTGTCCAAATCTTCTCGGGGAGGATGCAGAAGGTTCTTGAGTTTGTTCTAGTTTGGAATTGAAGGTTGAGAAGAGTTTTGGGGTGCCAGACTTAATCTTCTACTAAGTTGCATTAGCTCCCGCTGCCTGGTCAACTATAATGCAAATTCTGGGCCGGACCCCCCAGCAGCAAATGCCACTTGGCAACAGTTCAATGTCCAATCAGCCCTGATGGTCTAGCGGTATGATTCTCCCTTAGGGTCTTCACGACACGTCTGGGAGAGGTCCCAGGTTCGAATCCTGGTTAGGGCCCAATTCTTTTGCATTTTCAGGTTCTGGATTATCGTGGTGAACGCTTCGTGTGTTGTACTTTTGCCTCCGAGGATTTCATCATGTCTGCAACATCCGCGGGCTAATTGTGGTGGTGGGCGCACTGACAATCTGGTTACAAAACATCCCGTTATGGTTGCGAGTCAATCCCTACCGTAGGCGGTACTGCTCGTGATACGACTGGCCAGATTCGCGATTTACTTTTTGACTTGTCCCTGCACCGAAGCTTCTGAGACGGCCGTAGAAGATGGATGCAAAGTAAAGAGGGCCGCGGCGCACGTCGTTGCCGGAAGTTTCTTGTCGCCCAAGACTCTTGACAGGCTTGGCTAAGTGGCACGACCCCTTGGAACCGTGGAACCCGCGGTTCACGTCACGAGTTGCACAAGATGGAAATGATCCCAGCTACCGTAGGCCGGCTTGGCGGTTCGTTTCTTCTTCCGCTCCGTGGTACCAAACTTTGTTTTGCCAGAGTCGTGATCCCCTCATCTAGCCGCCTGTCACCCCTACCTCTCGGCATGTGTTTTCCGCGCCCGTTTAATACTGTTTGTCGTTGATCTAGCGAGGAAAACATCACGGAAACATGGGCCACGAGTCGATGTAAAACATTCAACATAAGCTTTCATTGTGCCTTTGTGAGGCGACCGCTGTCTAGCGGGGGTATCAACAGTTTCTATATCCATACAACCAACGCGCGCGCCAAAGTCTATCCCTTTTCCAAAGCACTCCAATTCTCTTCTCTTCAGGCAAACAACAGGGAGGGGGGTCATTTTGTCTCTTATGCCTCCTCATCCTTCTTGTCCTGGTCGCTCACGATGCCCATCTTCTTGTTCATGAGCTCATCGGGGTCGCCGGCGCCGGCGTCCAGGACCTCGAGGTTGCCAGCGGCGTCCTTGGTGCCGGTCCTGTAGCCCGAGTGGCTGCCAAAGACGTACCAGACGTAGCCGGTGAGGATGGCGGTAGTGGCGAGGAAGGCGAAGATGGTCCAGTTGCCCATGCTGTACATGGGGGAGTCGGTGCTCGGGAAGAGGAAGGGGGCGGAGATGCCGCCCGTGTTGGCGATGGCGATCATGCCGCCAGTTGCGAGCGCGGTGGCGGTGGAACCCTGGACGGTTGCGGTACGGTGCTGTTTTTGCGTATTAGTTTACATGACCTCTCTTCAATGGTTTCTGGGTCTGGAGGTTTGAACTTACAGCAACGAAGGGGAGGACGGCGGCGTTGGTGCAGGCGATGATGCATACGGCAAGGTAGCGCACACCCCAGTGCTTGACGATGGCCAGGAGGAGGTATCCCGTCGCGACGAAGATCAGGGCACCGATGACGTGGCGAGAGCGCTCCTTGGTCTTGTCACTGTGCAGACAGTTGCCAATGATGATGAACATGGCAAAGACGTTGGGCGGGACGGTGAGCAGCTGGGCGTTGTATCCCTTGAAGCCGAGCGAGGAGACGATGGTGGGCGCGAAGTAGCCGAAAGCGTTGAGGGAGTTGGTCATGAGGAAGTACATGACGGCGAAGAGCCAGAAGTAGGGGTCGATGATGGTCTTCTTGGCGACCTTGCTGTCCCAGTGCTTGTCGGACATGGAGGGCGCAAAGGGGCCGAGGCGCTTGACGGCGAAGGCGCGCTCCTCGGGGGTAAGCCAGGCGGCGGTCTGGGGGTAGTCGGGGAGCATGAACCAGACCATGACGCCGACGATGACGGCGGGGATGCCCTCGAGGATGAAGAGCCACTGCCATCCCGTGAGGCCGCCCTTGCGGTTGAGGAAGGAGATGCCCGTGGCGAGGAGACCGCCAAAGGCGCCGGCGACGGCGACGGAGGAGGCGAAGATGGCCATGCGGGTGGCGCGCTCTTCGGGCTTGTACCAGAAGCAGAGGTACATCATGATACCCGGGAAGAAGCCGGCCTCGGCGAGGCCGAGCATGATGCGGACGGCGAGGAGGCCGCCGTAGGTTGTGCAGGCGGCGGTGCAGATTGTGACGATGCCCCAGGAGACCATGATGCGAGAGATCCACTTGGAGGGGGAGAAGTACTTGAGCATGATGTTGGAAGGGAACTCCATGAGTACGTAGGGGACGAAGAAGAGGGCGACGGCGACGTTGTAGCGCTGGCCGGTGAGGTCGAGCATGGTGACGATGTTGTCTTCGGGCTTGTCGTTGTTGAGGGTGCGGGCGTTGCCGAGATTGACTCTGTCGAGGTAGTCTATTTTGTTCGTGTTAGTGGATGAAGGCTTCCTCCTCATCGATGTCGAAGCAAAACGTACTCAGGAGGTAGGTGATGCAGATCCAGGGAAGGATTCTGAGATCCTGCTTGCGGACGATGCGGCGCTCCATCTCCTTGTCGGCGAGGTCGACGGTCTCGAGGCCGGGCACGTCCAGGGACGGCGCCGGGGCGAACATGGCCTTCCAGTCAGGCATCGTTGCGGTTCTGGATGAGACTTTGGGTTTTCGGTGAGGCCTCGGTGAAGGGTGGTCGATCGCGGGATGGGCTGAACTCTAGATTCAACGACCGTTGAGACAGACACCGTTTGGGTGGATTGCCCTGTGAAAGCCGGCTTTGGTGAGCGGCGAGGTGGATGGTTGAAGAAGTTGCTGATGGACTTGTGGTTCGGGCAAGCTTTCGAGACTCCTTCGAACGAGGAGGGAAGTCGGGTTGTTATAAGTCGATGCTCAACTCCCCTGCGTTCTAGTGTCTACTGCATTTGGGTTCCGCCCACATGGTTCGATCCATCCCGACTTCGACCCGTGGCATCCCCATATAATTCACTACGACCCCGCGACAATCTGGTTTTAGAAACGGTATTTGTACAACTAAAATGTTACCTTATCTCTATCAAAGACCCAATTGAGGGCTGTGAAAGGGTGGGCGTGGTGGCGTGGGAATTGTCCCGACTGTTCGGGGCCTCCAGTCTTAGTGTCGAGTCGTCGACCACACCCCCCAAAACTAAAGCGTCTGCGAAAGACTGAAGTCAAATTCAAGATGTAAATGCCGGCGGGGGAGATAACGTGTCATCCAATCAGAAGAGCGGAATCACTCTAGATAACGACCAAGAAAAAAGTTCTGGCCTGTGTCAGTGTCCTCCTCCGTCTTGGGCTCTCTCGTCCGCTCAGGGGGGAACCCCGGAGTCGGAAGCTAGCACCGCGTGAACCATTTTCCAGAAGACGACTAGATTCCTGCAAGCCTGCGAAGAATCCATACTAGTTCAGGTTCAGTTGGGCAATGTTCGGCGTACTGCCGTGCGTCCGGTTCTCGGGGTGGCTTGCAAAAAATTTCGAGCTGCAGAAACACCACAAAGAACAAGATGGTTAGACAAGGCTTAGTTTGAGCGGGGAAGACAGAGAGAGACAGAGAGAGCGAGAGAGTAAGACAACACATGCCCAGCTGAGGACAGCTTGGGAACTAGAAGCCAGTCGCAAATTGCCGCATTTCCGGGTACGGGCAATAGCAAATGCAGACAACACGAGGTCTACGTACGCTTGTTAGCCTGTAATTGGGGGCGAAGATTCAAGATGGTATTGAACTCCGTTCCTCGGATTGTCTGTCAGCCTGTCGCTTGCCAAGACTGCAGATGCAAAGACATGAGGATATTATTCAAGAGTTCTCCGTGGGTCTCCGAAAGGGGGGCGCGGCTTCACGCTTCAACGCTTGAAGGGGCGGCGGCGGCAGCGGGCTCGTGCATGATGGATGGCAAGCCCACCCCCGACTGCAACAACGATTTTGTTCTCCATTCTCCCATTCCTATCGCCGGGGACCCGAATCAGACCTGACAGCTGAGGGTTGTTCCTTGTATGATTTGCTCTTTGCGTCTCATTTTTCGAGCTGTGCCTCTCGGATACTCTCCTTTTTCAAGGGGACTCTCACTCAATCTCGAAATGAAGGGATGCAAAAGGCATACCCAAAAACCTGTTCGTCTCATCTCGCTGATGTCGGGGATCTGACTCGTGTACCTACGCTGCCGCGTCGCGGCACAATGTTGGAGGCGTTGCTGCTGATAACGGTTTCTAGGAGTCGAAGTCGAGTAAACGCCACGGCCGACGGCAACTCCAAGCGTTTTTGGTCCAAGACGCCTCGTGTGTGTCTGTCGTTCTCGGTGTGTTTGAATGCGCGGGATTACACGAAGCCATTTGATCAATATGGGCCCATCCACGCATCCTCCACTGTCTGCGACCGGGGAAGAAGTCCCAAAACTCCATTCTTCGGCAGTGGCCCGTGGAAGGGAGACGTTCACCTAACCCTTAGTAGCGCGTAGTATGACGGGAGTCGTATGGGAATGGTTGCAAAAGGTCGCGATAGGCAACACGCCAGAGCCATCTACGAATAGGCTTGTGCTCGAGGTTATCCGCCCGCCGGCACCTAAGGACTAGATCTATCTGACCTGTGTGACATCTACAGTGACAGTGACAGGCTGACAGCAATAGATCAGCTCCATGCCAAGGCTAGGCGCACATGCTCGCAGCTCGTCTAAACCGACAACGCGGGATGTGGCACGGTGTCTCCGCTAGCTCTCACCTAGTGCGCGGCATGTCTATGGTCTTGATCTTCAACTCCGGGAACCGGAATGACGATAGTGTTCCATGGCCTGTAGATGGTGTTCTGCGAGTGTGTGCCAGTGTGGTGTGCGTAGGTGGGCGCCCGGGAGAAGCGTCAACTCTATGACTATTTAGTGTTGGCCGCCTGCGCGCGCCGGCGGGCTGTCTCTAAGTGACTGCAGGGCCTGGACCCGCTGCCCGGCGGGCATCTATGGGTCCGCCCCGAGCCGATCGGCAAGGGCGTGCGGTGGTGAGGGAGTTGAGGCTTGCAGCTGGACCGTTCGAGCCGTAACATCGGAGTCTTACTCTCCAATATCTTTGCAACATTCACACGTGGAGGTTGGCAACTCCTTCGTTCTGATTAGAGCAGTTTCCCGAGCTTCGGAACTCTTGTTGCAACCTGGCCAAGAAAAAGGTTCAACTATCCGTAAACGAGGTGCCCAATTATTGCTTCGCTTTCTCTCCGAAATCATCCGAGTTTTCGAAGAAGTTGGTGGATCGAAAGTCTCGATGTCCAAGTCCAAAACCGATGGAGGCATTGTAATTTTCTTCAACGCTGACTAGTCTTGACTTACTTTGGCAGAGTCTTTTTGAAGAGAAAGCCAACCGTTTGTAAGGGGGTCGGTGAGCATCTGCCAGCTTGACCTGGTGAATCCCCCCTTCCCCTCAATCACAACGGCATTCCTTCTCTTGTTTCTCCTCCCTCGACGACTTACCTGCCGTCGCCTTTTACAAATCTTCATAAACTCGAAACAGGGAATTGGAACGACTGAGGGCATCACCTTTACCTTTTGAGAGCGAACTTGCCCTTTGTTACTCCTGGGAGTCTTCTTGCCAAAGCAAGCTCGAGCATCAAGTGATGCCAATCAGGTTTTCAAATCAGCAGTTTGGCAATCAAAAGGTATCTTGAACGCGCATAGCGTTTGATATTTACCGGATACTGATTGGAAACTCAGTAGCCAAAGCCACGGCGCATCGGTTCTGACTTGGAAAGCGTGCATATGTGGCAAGATTCCAATTAGAAGAAGCCCAGGTCAAGTCTTCGTCGCGGCGCGGATACGCGTTGCCAGGCTCATCTTGTAATCTAGATTAGATGTATTCAATCGACCCTAGGTCTATGTTTTCATGTAAGTCAAGCATTCTTTGCCACATTTCAGCGGTTGTAGACCTAACTATTATCTAGAGCAACTTGCACCAGACCGAGACACTATCGGAACCGAATCCTCTATCAACGAACATCATCAATCGCCTCAGCTTCAAGCTACCTTGTCCGAAAGTTGTGAATAGTCCAGAAACACTCGAAAAATGTTGAGGGCCACCTCTCCTAGAACAGGTCCGAGTCGGAAAGTCTTGCCGTGACTCTAATTAAGTTGACTGGGAGTAGTACGAGGCCATCCGCGGCCTCGTTGCCGTATCTCTCTTCAATGCAACGCAGTTGGTCACAACCATATGTGAAGAGGTCAACCCAGTGGGCCAGGGTTATTGGCGCTGTGGCTGTCTTGGCGCTCAGCCCCAGGCTGGCGTTATCTCGATGCTTCCAATCAACCTTAGCTTCATGCATGAACCATCACGTATCACAATGATCAACTTCAACTCTGCAGTGCAGCATACCGAGCTGAAGTTCAGCCGCATGGGTTGACCCCGCGCGTGAATGAGTATGGGCGTCACCCGCAATATGTTGGCAGTCCCATCCCCAAAGACAATGACAAGTGTTCAATCGTCCCTATCCAAAGTCTGTCGTACAAATCCCTATTATCAGCATACCTGTGCAGGATGTTGTGTCAAATTTGCGTTGGGGCGTTCCAACACCGGAAGGGTTGGGTTCGCGACGACGACGAAGGGTCCGAACCCACCGTTCTACTTGCTCATCACGAATCGGTCGCGAGCCTTCAAGCATCAGCCCTCGACGCTTGCGAGATATGTCGTCCATTCTGGCTCCAGGTCAGTGAGGACGATCAAACTAGGCTGAGAGAGTTCGACGCCGTTTGGACTTCACGCCCGGCAGCTGGCGGTGCAAAGTCCAGAACACCTGGGCAAAAGTTGGATGAGTTTGACGGTTTAGTGACCATGGGCGCCGTAATGCTTCTCGAAGAACCTAGTCTGAAAGCAATTGGATCCGACTTGATGGTCTCCATTTCATTTGAGTCGGGATTTACGGAGGAAATTCACTTTGATCACAAGAATGTCTCCGGCACATACGTGGTACAGAGAGGTGATTGTGAGTAGTTTTACCGTGTTAATAAGCCATCGCCTTTTTCTAACATGATCGGGCACCAGACAAGGACGCCGGAAAGATGATGCCGTTCTCTAGCAACAGCACGGACTCTGAGGAAGCGTGGTCTAAAGCGACTTCATGGATGCAAGCTTGCCTGTCTACTCACACGGCTTGCAACGTTGAACTGAAAGCGGAGCCGTGGTATCCCACACGGTTGCTCGACCTTAATGCTGGTTGCGGAGGCATAGATATCGTCCGTCTGGTGATCACGGCTGAGCATCCGCCTTCGCACAATGATCGGTACGCAACCTTGAGTCATTGCTGGGGTTCTGCTCAGTTTCTGCAACTGAAGAAGGTCGCGTGCGAGGATTTCCAAAGAGGCATCGAGCTCTCCAAACTCCCCAAGACTTTCCGTGAAGCCATCAAAGTCACTCGACGGCTGGGCGTGCGGTATCTCTGGATTGACTCGCTTTGCATATTCCAAGATCGAGACGATCTCTCTGACTGGCTTGTCGAAGCGGGTTTGATGCATAAAGTCTACTTGAATTCTTTCTGCAACATATCCGCAGCGGGGGCGCGCGATAGTTCCAAGGGCCTTTTCTTCGAGCGGGATCCGAGAGTGAGCCTGAATGTCGATATGTGCCTCAACACGGAGGGATTTGGACTAGGAACGGAGTACATCGACTGCAGCATCGTCGACTTGTCATTTTGGGACCACGGTGTTGGCCAGTGTCGTCTCAATAAGCGCGGCTGGGTTCTTCAGGAGCGTCTGCTTTCCCCACGTGTGCTCCATTTCGGCTCCGATCAACTCTTCTGGGAGTGTAGAGAGCAAGCTGCGGCCGAGTGTTACCCAGAGAGGATGCCAGAAATATTGGAAAACGGCGTCCCGATGAAGTTCAAGAGACTCAGCAAAGTTGTTTACGGCCCCGATGCGATGTCGCAAGAGAGAGAGCCCGACGACCCCACCTTTTATTACCGAATTTGGGATCGAATCGCGAGAGCCTATGGTAGCACTAGCTTGACTGTGGCCTCTGACAAGTTGCTGGCTCTATCCGGGATAGCGCAACACTTCGAGACTTTAATTGACGATACCTATGTCGTTGGGATGTGGCGGAAGCATCTGGCCCGCAATCTGCTCTGGCACGTTGATAAGGAGACTCAGATTGACGGCTCCCCATCAGCCCGGCCCGAGGTGTATAGGGCCCCATCATTCTCTTGGGCCTCGGTCGATGGTAAAATCGCGACGGGGCCCCTAGACCAATCGAAACTACTCATTGATGTTGAAGGTGTCCATATTGAGTACGTGTCAGAAAACACCTCGGGGTTGGTGAAAGGGGGCTATCTTGACCTTAGATGCTGCGTGCTGCCTTTCGAAATGGTCATGAGAACCATCGGTCAACATCAGTTTCTTTATCTGAAAGTCAACGGCGCTATCGTCATTGCTTCTAGCAAAGATGAGAGTAATGTTGGCCCTCTAATACATATGGATGTCGGCCAGAAATGCTTCGACCACGAGAACACCACAGGATCGCTGTATTACGTTGTTGCACAAGATCAGGAGAAGCTCGATGGCTTTGTCAGGTGTCTAATACTGATGGCAGTAGACGAGGAGAGGAAAACTTTCAAGAGGATTGGGCTTGCAGTGACCAATGAGGCAGAAGAGATAGAGATGCTGCAAAGTGCGACACACGTCGCCGATGAAACCCCATCGAACAACAGCGATCTTCATGGAACTAGAACGATACGAATCATATGAATCCTAGAGCAAGCTAGATCTAGTTCTTCCATTGGGAGAAGACAAACGAACGCAAGGCATGAGCCGACACACCAGCCGGACCTTAACGAAACCAACCCACGGTCTTAGACAACTTCAAACTTCAGGAGATCCAACATTATCAAGCAGCTTCATTGCCTTGCGCCGGGACCACATGCCAAGTATGCTCCGTGAAGATCAGTGAGCCATCTTGCTGTAGGGCGTACGGGTCCATGTAGACATCGAAGTCAATGTCTGAGGTAGTGAGGTTGAAGACGCGAATAAGCATGTAGGCTGTGCAAGATCCTCTAGGGGACCTTGACGCATCTGTGCACTCCTTCATCTAGGGAAATTGAAAGTTGGTCAGACAAGTTACGCAATACGCTCGTGATGGAAAGGTACAGAGTCCTACCCTATTGTACTGATGCTTGCTCACGAAGAACGGTCTTGTAGCATCCCCGGGTGTTGTCTTGACTTCGATCAAGTATTGCGGCTTCTTACTCATGCAATGAGTTCCCTCCAAATATCCCTTGTCGATAAGAGTCCGAGTCAGAACTCCAGACTTGTCGTCGTAGACGATGTCGGCAGTCTCTTTCCCTTCCCAGGGAGTCACGTAGGAATATTCGGGATGGACTGCTACATGTTTCCGCATCGTGCTTCGCCAATCGCACATGCCAAATCCCGGGAGTGACGGATTGAGATGCGAGAGCAGCTCATAAACCTGAATCCGATTAGCAAAGAGTCTTGAGAAGTCATCAAGGACCGTTTCAATGGAAATGATCATGTCCCATGTTCCTTGTACTCACAAAGAGCTCACCAGCAGCGCCGATCTTTTCGTCACTTCCTGGAGGCAGCCGCGAATTTGAAGCAGGGGTCGAAATACGTTCTCCTGACTGCCTTGGTCTTGAAGACCTAAACCCGGGAAACGATCTACGTCGCGCAGCGAAGATGACATTGTTGAGTATTCTCAAATACTCTGCACTGAACGCGTTGTATATGGGCGGGGTCGTAGCAGCGGGGGCCGTCGGTGTTTGCCCAAAATGGAAGATTTGTGATACTGGGGGTGCGGCAGCTGTGCCGACAGCTGAATCCGGCTGCAAGCGATAACTTCTGTTGCTGTCAGGTGAAGCGGTAGTACTTGTCTGCTGCGTAAATGCAGGACGCGTAACAGTAGGTCCGGAAACAGAACGAGAACCTGTTAAAGAGAAAGGTCTCAGGGGCATCTCTACCGCAAACCCTTCGAGCTGAGGGACTTCAGCAGGTGGCGGTGAAGCATCGACAACCCCTCTGAACTCCTGATCTTGATCATCTTCGATAGCTCCCACGTCGATGATGCCTTCTGCTTCTAGGATCCGAGACACACTTTGGATCGGTGCATTGAGAGCTGAGCTCATTGCACTGATGGCTCGGTCCGGTATCCCACCGCAGATTTGTGTTTCCGGTTCTGTCATCACCCACTCTAGAAGACGTCTCGGAAGACTCGAGTGATAACAGAAGTCCTGCCTTTCTGTGTTCAAGGGGATGTATATCCGCAATCGACCAGCCGTATCTCGGATGTGAAGCTCGCTTGATGACTTAACGTGGATGTGTACTTTCCCATCCTGGGCAAGGTGCACCTCAGATGAGATTCCATGTGTTTCGTACAATTCGGTGGCACGGAGTGTGTGGTACAGATCATGAGTGTTGTCCACACGGGGACTGTTGAAGTGAGATGCAACCCTAGTGTTGAAATCAGATTCGTAAGACTATTGGGAACTACCAGGCCTGAAAGAGGCACAGCTGGGGTAGCTAGTACTTGCCTGTAGATTCCACTTGCTCTTCTCCTGATGTCTCTATCCGGACGTTGCACTCTAACATGGGAATCGCTTGCAACAGTTGAGATCTCCTTCACGGAAGAGGACAGGTACCGAGAGTCTAAGCCCAACCAAGAAAAGAGTTTGTGGAGCCTATGAACTTCATCTAGAGAAAAGTCCAGAAACTTTACTCTGGAAGCAAACATCTCGGCTAAGGGCTTGCGGTCCCTGATGACGAATTCTGTGCGAGAAGTCTCGAGACTAACCTGCCCAGTTGGATATTCGACGGGAAATATGGCACTATCCAGCAATAGCTCTGGGTCAGGATACGATGTTGCACTGTGAAGGAGGGTGTTGACCACCCAGATAGTCTCTTTAATTTCGGCGACGGTAGCTGTTGGCTGTTCATTTGCCTTGTTAAGAAGCTCATCGCACGCCATCGCAAGAGTAAGTCTTTGTACTCCGAGCGTTTCGACGAAGAAGTCTTCCAAATCTTCGTAGATAGAGCTGAGAGTCGTTCGTCCCTGTATCTTAGCCCCGCTTGACCATAGACACTCGGCTGTTGTACGCCATCCGGATGTTTTGCCATTTGGAACAAAGATGAGAGGCGTCGTACTGAAATAAGCCCTGGAATCGAGCACGTCAGCTGCAGCTTCGCTGCAAAGGGGCTCCAGAAATACCTGACGTCCTTCAATTGACCTTCCGCCATGTCGCAGTCCTTGAGAAAGCCGTAGATCTCAACAACCCAATCGAAATCATCGCAGTTGACTTCTTTCATGTGCTTCAGCTCCTGTATGCAGCAGTTCTGGTCCCAATTCCCTATTCCCAAGGTCTTGCTCATAAACCTTCTCAAAGAATCCGCCCGACCTTCAGAACAACTTTTCATGACTTGTCCCTCAAGGACACCTGGCGCTTGCCAGACACAAGCATCCGGCCTTTTCCAGAGCATAGGGCGGGTCTCAGCTGCAGCGATTCCAAGAGCAGCCCTCCTTTGGTCTCCCTGGTTACTGTATATAGGAACCAAAATACAGTCTATCTGACGGCAGAAGTCTCTGTGTCTTCTCAGTTATTTGTCACTTCATACTCGCTTTGGATATGGGGTGTAAGTATCTTACTTTACAACTGTGGCAACTTGGTCTTTGGATGCCGATTCCTCTAACCGAAGCTGTATCACCTCATAGAGACTTAGAGTCTTGCCGTAAACTTCTTGTTGTGGCTGAACTTCAACGAGTCGTTGAAGAATTGAGAGGTAGAAATTCACGTCATCCCGAGCTCGTACGCCAAGCTCATCGACCAAGAAACCCCATTTCGATTGGTAGGAAGCAGAGTGAGTAGCTTCGCCGAGCAAAAGGAAGCTGATTGTTGAATATTCTCCAAGATATGAAGAACAAGTAGCCGTGAGCTCTGGCAGCGGCAAGGTTGTCTCTTCAAGTGGGTAGTCCTCGCCGTCAAGGCAAGTGATGTCGAGGGTTCGAAGGCTGCGAAGGAACTCCGAGCTGCTAGGGTCTTTATTCAGCAGTATCCAGTGATGCTGAAGCGCTCCAATGAAACGTTCGGGACCATAAGTGCGAACCAAGTCGAGCTCGGGAGAAAGGCTTCCTGGAGATGTTGGAGAGGTCAATCTCAAACGACGGCGTACTCGCAGGAAATGCTCAAGCCAACCAGGCCAAGATTGTTCCGCCCCAGCTGGTGTCTCTGGGGAGCAATCAAAGTAACGTCTGTGCAAAAATGGCACAACGACTTCCTCTATCAGGTTCGAGATCGGCTGCAAAAGCTGGTACGGCTCATAGCAAAAGGTTGTTGGGATGTAAATGTCCTGGAGATGTGGTCGCTGAACCTCCATCGTGTGATCGAAGACAAAGAGTTCTGAAAAAGGAGTCAGGTTTCCTTCTTTGTGGGCAAGTTGTTGAGACAAATAGAGAAACCTCAGGTTTTCGACAGATGCTAGAAGTGTCACTTCGGCTTTCCCAATCGGTGCTGGAACCTCAAAGATTAACCTCCGAATTTCTTCAAGAGTCGCTGTTTGAACACCCAGCAATTCGAAGAGTTTGTGCCGAGCGCTGTCAGCAGATGCATCTGGACTGACGAGAGACAAGGGAAGATTGGCAGGAATTTCGAGGTCGTTCTGGCAGCAAGGAAAGTTGATGGGCTGTCTGCTACCGTTGATGGAGGTCCAACTACCGTCTCTCAGGGGTATGATGTCCAAATCATGAATCCTCGCTAGATTCTGCGGGGAGGCAGTGGCCACGAGTCTCTAAATTGTGCTGGCAGCCAAAGAATGCCATTGAGTGCTGGTGGACGGGCTCTTCATCCGGGACTTGTCGATCGATTGGCTGAGATCATGTTCTAGACGGGCTATCCTCTCGTCTGGAGACAGCCACTTTAAACCATACGGCTCAAGCAAGCTCAGATCCCTAGTTTGGTACTCTTCTGCGATGTAAATTCCAGCATCGAGATCGTTGATCATCGGGAACCCGTTTTCGTCGATCCAATTGGACTGCAGGCGTCGCAACGAGTTGATGTCGCCCAGGCGACCGCTACCTCTTATTCGAAGGATCTCGCTTGTCTTGATACGGCTCACAATGTCCTCAAGCAAGCCGTTCCAGAAGCTGTCCCAAGGATATGAGTGTCTCTGGGGAAGCCACCTCATCCATTGAAATTGCAACGTGGGATGTTGGCATAACTCTTCCACGGCTTTGAGGAAACACGTCACAATCCCATCTCTGATAGCCAAGTTACGTGCGGATGAAACCACGATTCCTTCGCGAGAGGAATTGGTGACGAAGTCAGCTTGGATGATGAACTGCACATGAATCAGCGCAGGCTCGAAACCGTGTCGTGCATGTCGAATGCCGTGATGCAAAGTTTATCTTACCTTAAATCCTAAGGGCGTCATTGGCAGGAACGCGAACACTGGCTGGTTTTTGACGAACGGGGTATAGTCATTGGTAAGTGGAAAAACCAAGACAATTTCAGTCTCAGCATCTGCACGGCCATTGCCCTCGGAAAACTCCCGATTCTCGTTTGGTGGAGCATCTCGAATCGTTTGACGTGTAAGATGATACTTTCTCTGGAATAGTCTCACCGGGAGAGGACCCATGCTCCGGTTGCCATACTCTTTCTATGAGGGTACTCGAATTTGAATCGGAGAAGGAGTACTCCACTCGTTTTGTCTCCACGTCATCGTTGTCGTGAAACTGGATCTCGATGCGTCGCAGATTCCTCAGAAAAAACAGAACCGTGATTGGAAGGTTTGCAAACTCCCAATCAATCTCCTCTCTCTGCCTCGTCGCTTCTAATATAGAGGTGTCATCGTTTTCATCGTACTGATGAAGATGGAGTGTGATGTAACTCGGGGCTTGTTCACCCTGCGGAACGAAGTCTGGTTCCCAAACAGGGGTCACCATCCCAAGGCCGCTGTCACCCTTGCGGTGGGTGAAGCTGAAGGAAAGCTCCTTCGAGAGGATATTGACTTTGTAAGCGGCCATGAAGACGGATTTGAAGCCGATGCCTTTCTCCCCAATGTATCCAGAATTACGGTTCTTTGAGCTCTGGCCGATCGCGCATATGGCTCTGAGATCGCGGTGTGTGAAGCCATCCTCGTTGCACTCAATCCTGATTCGGTCTCGGTACACGCTGAACACTACATAAGGATCAATACCGCGGTTCTTTGCTGCAACAAACTTGTTGTCGTCGGCGTTTTGGAGAAGTTCGAACAGGAAACGGGCATGACTGGTGTTGAGGTTCTTCGCCAAGCTTGAGTCATAGTTAGCAGCTGTCAAAGTCGTGTTTGGAGAAGGCTGACAGACGAGCGGTAGTAGCATACGTCAAAATCGAGGACCCGATGAGATGGTCCTTCTGTAATAAAGCCTTTTCCACGACGGTACGAATGCGTTGGCTCATTGTAC